TATTCCTAACTTCAGTTAGCTAAACGTAACACGATTACGTGCAAATGTTATTCAGTCATTTATCAAGCATTTTGGTTGCAGTAAAATTGAAATTGAACGAAGATATATAATCTGTACCGATTAACTCCAATTTCCATGGGGATCGTCCTTCTACCAAACAATGCAACCTGTAATTTGCTTTCTAAGAGCTTAAATCGACTCAGGAGACATTTTTTGCTGATCATTTTGGATGTTACAAACAAATGTCTCAAGCCAAAGGGTGACGCAGGGTATAATTACACCTCCGTCAAAAACCTATATCAAATATATTAGACAATAGGAATGGAAAAGAACTAACTACTACTTGCAATTGTAATCCAATATGTTACTGCTTTTTGTCCTCCATAAAGATCCCATTCCAAATTCCACTCCAAATTCATTCCATCTTAGAACAATTTCATAATAAAAACCTACTTAATTATGGTTCCGACAAACGACAAGTCATTTATTTTTAGATGATTGTGCGTGGACAAGCAGACAAATTAAGCCGACATGTTGTGACTTTTAGCGATGCCATAGAGAATTATTAACAATAACAATAAAACAAATGAAAGAAGTCATAACAAGAGCACAAAACACAATGAATTACATCGATCACTAGAAGAAAAAAAAACAACAAAAAACAACATTTCAATTCAATATGGAAATGAATACAGGGACACTGACAGCACCAAACGACGACGAAGATGAAACCCAAAATGCCATGCGATTACTTATGACATAAAGCGGGACACCAATACAACGAAACCATCCCCACCAATTGAACCCCATTTTTCGATGGACAGTGTGGCGCTGAAATTAACAACAACACCAAGAACAAACCGAATGAAACTGCAAAGAACAATTCAAGTATCTGAGAGCACTCTCACTCGCCATTACAACAACAATTAATTTCAAATGTCATATTGTCGCATCAGCAGCCAGCGTTGTCTGAGTGCGTGTGAAAAGCGTTTTCGAACAATTTGTCTGTGCAATCGGACGCAAACACTTGTTCCACACATGAATCGATCGTTTGGAAGGCGAACGCAACAAACAAATGCCTGGTCTTGTGAAAATGCATTATTTTCCTTCTTCTTCTTCCTCTGCTGCTGCTACAAAACGACGGATTGTGTGTTTTGTATGAGTGTCAAACTTAATGGGTGTCAATATTTTGTATAAAATAGGTCAAAAGTTAATATCTAAATGACAACATACACTGAGCATCAATGCATGGTATACACATGTAGCAAAAGCTACGGATCTGTGTGACCCATACAACAATCCATTAACACATGATATAAACAAAATATCATCTGCATTACCAGTTGGTTGAAAGTAATGGGTCAGTTCTAAAATAAAACTCACTCTTCGTTAATCGATTTTTAACAAATTTGACGGAGGCTTTTGTACCTCTAGTACCAAATAACATTGCTGATACGACTTATATTAAACAAAATATTTTTTGGAGCAATAGATATACCAGACCGAGTTTCATCAAATGAAAAAAAACTCGGTTGAATATGAAATGAAATTTATCCAATTTGTTCTGATATTACATATATGGTGGAAAATAACCGTAAAATCGGATGAAAGTGTATATCGAAGCTATATAAAAATCTGAACCCATCTCAATAAAATTTAACAGAGGTATTTTCGAGCTGTATCTGATGTCCGGTATCAAATATGCTTGTTGTGGAGTGCATATTATGCATGTGAGGGACTTTAACACCAAATCATATGAAACATATATATGGAAGCTATAGCTATCTATATCTGAACCGATTTTCACCAACATTTTAAAGTATTTGCTTCTAGGCTGAATCCAGTCGGATTTGCTAAGATTCCGTTCATTTGAAATGATACTAGCCATTTGGTGCACAAAAAACCTGATATCGTATAGAGATATACAGGGAGAGATGAAAAAACTTCAACCAATTTCAGACTGCTACCACTCGTCCGACAGCTGTTAAAATTATTCCAGTGATAGATCATTATATTTGTTACAAGCGTACAAAAGCATTTTGGTGAGAATTTTCCAGAAAAAAAGTTATTCGTGATGGAATTCAAGCGTGATAGTGTGATTTCTTTATATTTGGCTGGAAAACCAAAAGGGGCTATGATAGAGCACACCAGCATTAAATGTGAATAAATCTTTTGTGTCTCGTACAATCGCTCGTTACCGTGATACTGGTAGCGTAGATCGACGTCAAGGAAGTGGACGGAATAAAACAACAACATCAGCAGAAATGGTTCGAAAAGTAAAGAAGCGACTTGATCCAAACCCGCGTCGCGATGGCCGGCTCGTGAGCTGAATATATCGCAGAATTCCATTCGGCAAATATTGAAAAATGAGCTCGGGATAAAGCCATTGAAATTCCAAAAAGTGTAAGAACTTACATCGCAATAGAAAGAAAATAGACTCAAAAGAGCTAAAGAGTTGCTTCACTTGGCCGAAAGTGGTGAACTGCCGAATTTGATTTACTCCGATGAGAAAACATTCGTTGTCCAGCAGTTTGTAAACAAACAAAATTATCGTGTTTACTTGTCAAAGAGGTCAGCTGAAAATGTGCATGTTCGGTGCACAAAGTTTGTTTATGGTGTGATGTGGGCCGCCATAACAGCCGATGATCGCTCTCCGCTCGTATTAATCGCCGCGGTCGATTATCAGAATAAATGCCGAATATTATCGCGAAAATATTCTGGAGGGTGTATTAAAGCCTTGGGCACGCAAACATTTTGTCCGCAGACCTTGGACATTCCAACAGGACTCAGCTCCACCGCACTCAGCACGCGCCACCCAAGAATGAGGTTCCTCGCTTCATTTCCAACGCACAATGATCACCAAAATCTCCGGATATCAATCCGTTTGACTATTATGTCTGGAGTATCTTGGAAAGCAAGGTTGGCACTAAGAAATACCAAAGTGTCGATCATCTCAAGCAAGCGCTTCGCCGGGCAGCGTGTGACGGTTTCATTGGCAGTGTGAAGGCCATAATTCGTGCCAAAGGGGACCAATTCGAACCAATCTAAACTTATTCTAAATTTTGATACTATTTCCGACATTTTTTGCTTCGATTCAGTAAAATTTAAAAAAATGTGAAAATTATGGCGTTTGACTTTGTTCCAGTTTTTTTTTATCTCACCCTGTATATATTCTGGATCAGCGTAAAATTCTAAGTCCACTAAGCCCACAAAAAAATACTTATGCGGATATACGTCTTCTTCGACGGATTTTTTTTAATTTTTTAGATTCCTTCCAAATAGTGGAGGGTATTAAAAGTTCGTTGTTTTTTTACTTGTTTTTACATCTAGCCTACACTTAGCTTTCAGATGTTACGTATAAAATCAGAGATCGGAGGTATAACTATCTACATGCGAGCATCTACATTTCAGTGGAATATCGTGCAAAACACATCTCTCATCTACTCAAAAGTGTCAAAAAACGCAATTTCGAAAGAAAAAAAATATATCCCCGAATTGAAACCGGTCGGTCAAAGCCGACTTTCAAGTTTTTCATATATTTGGGGTATGTGTATTGCATATTCATCATATAAAAAGATTTGGAAAATATGTATGAAACATGTCGGTTTATAATTCTTTCAATAAAACAAACACTGCTCGGTAGTAGGATTCTCTAACCGACAAAAATCGGTAAAATTTAAATGCTTATAATTTAAGTTACTAATGAAAGTTAGCAACCTAAATGAAACATTCCTATAGCAAAAGTGCTGTCAACTTTAATTTACACTTTTCATTCATAATTTTGCGTTTTAATATTACCGATATTTGTTGGTAACCCAAAAAATTAGTTAAAGAATTCCACTACTGATCATATTTTTATATTTTTTTAATAATAAACAAATATAGTTATTTCAAAATCACTGCACTTTTAGTGAAATTTTAATCTCCGCATCCCCAGGAAGAAGAAGTACGGCCATTGATTTAATGGCCAATGTTTGTCTTTTCTCCTCGACTAATCTGTAGGCCGACAATGTCAACTCCCCGATTCAGGGATTGAAAATTATCATTCTGTTTATTCCTGTTGTTGATCAAAGTATGTCATAACTCATCAATTATTTTAATGTTTCTAAGATGTCGCTGTAATTCAGAAAATACTTAAAAATTTAATTTAATTTAAGGTCATTTATTTTCCCCTCATGAAAAAATTAAATTCAAAATAATTTAAATGGGACAATTCTTAAGCGTTCATCCACAGCGGATGTGTTTGAAAACATTTCAAAATAGTCGTAAAATTGGGAAGATTAAAATGAAGAAAATCGCTTAAACATCAACACTTGTAAATTGTAATCGATTGACAAGATCAAAGTGCTTTGATGTGGTCCCATCATTTTCGCACCCTCCATTTAATTTCTGTTTCCATAAAGAGCTTTTATATTCAATCCAATATCGCGGTCGATGGTGGTAATGACGACGACGATGTTCGACTTTTTGTTTGGGCTGAATGGCAAAAGGGTCTATCCATCCATTCATCCGGCGAGTATGTCTTTTGCCTGTCCCTCTGTACGATTCTCTAATGGCCATCTTGTATGGGAGATGGGCGATATTGCGTGCCAAGTTGAGAAGCGTAAGTGAGTCCATCCATGTACTTGCTGTGTGTAATTGAGTAGTCGCTGGAAGATCGACCCACTACAAACATATTCACATAAATCGATTGGCAGAACGCATATTTACAGTGTCATTTATTACGACAGAATAATGTTTATGTACTCACATGCCCTGATCTTGGGTGTGAGTGTGTACGTGTGGGTGTTTGTGTGTGAAGAGTATCTGTGAAATTGTCTTTATTCTGTTCGATGTGGAATTGAATAAATTTCAATATACTTTAAGTACAGCTCTTAGCTCTTTGGAATATTGTGCGTTATTTGGAATCCAGCAGTTGTCGCGATCGGAAGCATAGGAATTCGCTGAAGATTCCTGCGTTGAAAAGTAACAAAAAAAAAAAAAAAAAGAAAAAAGAATATCCTCTTTGACCCTCATTGCTTTGAAATATAAAATAAATTCAATATGAATGTGTTCTAACTAAATTCCGTGGCAAGGACTACCAAAGGATTTATACATTATTAAAAAATATATCAACTAAATTAACTAGATTTCTGGTTCGAACTCTTTGACAAAACTGTCCACCTTAAAAAAATTGAAAAATAAACAAAAAAGAAGTGAATTTAGTGATAAGCCCAGAGTAAAACAAGAACATTAACAATAATAACAATAAAATCTTGATTTTCCACTATATTGGCGATTATTAAGAATACAAGGGGACATGTGCTCATGTTCTTTAAAAAATATGTGCTGAGAAAATGTTTGCTCTTTAGTGATACAAAGAAGTGAAATAAAAAAAATTATACATACATACATGACAATATAATTGATTAAATGGAATATGTACATCGCCCTGTGTTGATTATTTGAAGATTTCAGTTCAGTTGGTTGGTGTGATTAATGTACCTTTCGATCTCATTTTAGTTTGCTGGTGTTTCATTCGGAAATAAGGCGTTCTTTGACGACGACGTCAAGAACCTCTAAAATAAAGACTTTAAACGAATTACGAAGTGATCAACTAATTATTACCAAACAAATATAAGAAAGTTCAATACCCACCCATTATCCCATCAAACAATTGTCGTCAAAATGCAGGCCTTTCGTTGGGGCCTAGTGGGAGTTGCACTGTTGGCTGTCGTTTGTGCGAATGCAGCAACAATTGTAAGTGAATGAATTATAAAAAATAGTAATATTTTTTTCATTTGAAAACCAAAAGTGAAAGTAAAATGTGTAATACCCAAAATTGACAAATAAAGAGTGTAAATGTCAGAAAAAAAAAACTCTGAGGAATATGAAAAGAAAAAAATTAACTAAAAATATGAAATATGCTGACATTTTCATGTGTAAAACATAGGAACAGTCATGAATACGGAAAAAAATAATGCGGAAAAAATTTCTATCCTGACGCCAAAGCAAAAAAAAAAAAAAAAAAAAAAAAAAACTAAGAGAAAAGCTTAAGATTAATAGTTTTTTTTTTCGAAAGAAATCGTATTCTAGAATAAAACTCCCTCAGCAGCTGTTTCGGTATTAACATATTACTTCAATTCATATAAACATTTGTGCACATATTGAACCAATGTTCGCAGTTAGTAAAGAACAAATGTACAATATTTTAGCATTTAGTCCTTTATAGCCGCCTTTATATGTATTTACACAATCCAATATCGTGAAGAATAAGGTTAAAGATTGTAATTTGTAATTTGTTAACAATGAAGGCATTTATACAGGAGCAAGTTGTCATACATTAAAACTGAATGGTGAAAATATATATATACCCTGTACTATGAAAGGATTGAAATTAAATCAAGTGGTTTGGTGCAGACACCTCTGTCAACAAATTCTTAGCCTGGCCATAACTAATAATAAAACAGTAAAAGGTTAAATTTTGTCGTAAGAACGAGCCAAACTTAAATTATAGCCATATTTGGAATAGGCACCAGATGTAGAAATTATGGGCTGTGATTTGGTATTTTGAGATAATATGGGCTTTTGAAAATCTGGTGGGCATTTCAAATAGGAAATATTAAAATTAATTTTTAAAGATACCCTTTTCTTACCCTACACCACAAGGTGGTCCGGATATTATGTCTTTGTTCAGAAAAAGGCAAAAGGGAACGAGATAGACCCATAGTTCCTTTTGATGATCTCCATAGAATCACATTCTTATTTGATTTATGCATGTCCGTCCATTCGACTGTCCATGAATTTTTGTGAACTAAGTACAGTTCGTATTTATTATCCGATCCAGATGAAATTTTGCACAAATCATTTGTTTGGCCCAAGGACGAACCCTGTTGATACTGGAGATAATCTGTCAAAATTTAGATATAGCTCCCATATTTATCTTCGTTCGATTTGCCTCTTATTGTGCACCACATGTGTAATATCAGCCCGAATAGTATGGAATTTTGCACATACAACCAAATTAGGCCTGAAAATAAGCTGAAAATAGATATAGCACCAATATATATTGTTCATCCGATTTGTTATTTTAGTCCTCCGCTGTCGTAATATGCACTCTGTAACAACAATATTTGGGGAAATATATCAAATACAGCTCAGAAATACCTTTGCTAAATTTTATCGAGATCGGTTCGGATTTGGATATATCTCCCATATATAACTTTGTCCGATTTACCTTTTATTGTGCACCAAACGTCTAATGGGCAAAATGAAATGTTGGCACTTATGACCGAATTGAGTCTAGAAGCTAGTATGTCAAATTTGGTGAAGATCGGTTCAGATATTGTTATAGCTCTTATATATATTGTTCATCATTCAATCATTTCAAAATAACAATTTTCGATGGAACAAGTTAAAAAGTATCTGTCAGTTTTGCCGATAGATGTATACCCTCAGCCTATGTCAGTTAATTAACATATATTTTGACTTACATTATTATTATTCACAATGCTGAACTATTTATCCCCTTTTGATCTGAAATAACTTTGATATAAATGATACAACGGGCCCAATTTGGAATTTGCCGATTACTTCTTCCAGACTTGACAGGTACCAGATTTAGTGGACCAAATACCCACTTCCTCTAATACTATTGATTGATATTGGGATGTGCAAAATTTTAAAATCTGATATATAACCAATTTTTTTGGGAATAACTGTTAATCATAATTTTAACCTTTTATGGGGGAGTTACGAGAAGGAGTGAGCAGATTAATTCCGTATTCACATCAGATCTCTGACTGAGAAAAATGTGTAGATATATATACTAGTTTTGAAAAGAATTGCCGTCTTGGTTCACATGTTATGCGGGATATTAGTATTGAAAATTGATCCCCTCTGCGGGAGAAGTATCAGAAGGTGTAAGCTGATATCTATCATATTCGCACCAGATCCTGTTTTAGTGAAAATATTGGGATATGTGAAATTTAAAGAGAATCGGTTGATTATTTCGCATATTATGGGATATATAACAAATCCAAATTTTGACTCAGAAGGAATTGTCGGACCTATTCCATCCTCACACCTGATCTTGTGTTGATCGAAATATTGGGATATGCAGAGTTTGAAAATAGCCGGATGCTCCTTTTGTGTTTATTGGAATGTGTTAAATTTGAGAAGTATCGGATGTTTACTTTGCATTTTATGAGATCAACTATTGATCCTATGTCTGGGAGGTAAATGATGGACTGGACCGATATTGTCCATTTTTTGTAACAATTTTGACCTTTTGTGGGGGAGGTACCTGAAGAAGTGGGCCGATTACCCATATCCGAACTCGATCTAAGTTTGACAATAATATTACGATGTATCGAGTTTGCAACAAATCGGATACTTCCTTCGAAAATTATCATGCGCACCAGTCAGGCAGACGGACACCCTTAGATCGACTCCAAGTGTCCTGAAATAGAATTGGCCCAAAGATACCTAGTGTCTAAAACCATCATTACGATAAGGCACGTTTTTGTCAAATCAAATGTGGTTAGAACTTTGATTCAAATTTCGGTCGGTAAAAGCTGGTGGATAGCTTTGTCATTATGATTAAAGAAGAAATTCTCCTTTAAAAATTGTTAAATATAACAAGTAAGCCAAAAGTCGACCGGACCGACCATGTGATACCTCACAACGCCATCATTCTCGGTAAAGGGTTTGTAGACGTGAAACTGTATTGACTAGAAAGATCGAAACGTTCATGATATGGATAAGTGTTTTCAAGTATAAATGTTTGTTTTCTAATTTCTGATGGATGGATTGCAAATAAATAATGTATTACTTTTCAATTAAAAAGTTGTGGTCCTTATTGTTAAAATCTGTTCGAAAAATCCTCACAGATCTGGAACCAATATTTTCCACATAACTGCGTTCACTTTGATACATTTAATGTATGGTCAATTTCATTCATGCAAAAGACTTATTATGGTTCTTAAAAGTTGAATTTTAAAACATTTGAAATCATCGGATTTATATTCCTTGTAATTCTTAATTTTTCCGCATATATTACTGACAACAATCGGAAGATTATTTTGGTCGAATTTCAACCCCCAAGCAAGTTATCTAGTTTCCCCTTTAAAAAACAGTAAAATAAAACATAATTATATGAAAGTATTTGAATTCGAACGTGTTCTACTTTAAACTACAAATACCAGTAAGACCGTTTGGATAATGCAGTTAAACTTTTCAAGAAACCATAATGTGGGTGAAGCCGTTATATGGTTATATGGGGTCCATACCAAAAAACGCGAACCTTTACAGACAATTTTATGCTACAAAGATTTCTATCTATTGTGAGTCTTAAATACCAAATTTGAAATGTGGATAGGATTGTCAAAATACCTAATATCGGTGGGTACCGTTATATGTGCGCTATAGGAAAAAGTGGACCTAGATATTAAATGTTCTGCCACCGGAGATAGAACCCATTATGAACTACTTACAACATTTTTAAACAAATTCTTGGTAAAATGTGTCAAAAATCATTAAAATGCCGAATATCGAGAGGTATCGTTATTTGGTGGGTATACAAAAACATGGACCGTGAATCACTTTCAATATCAACCGTCTTGGACACAATACAAATTTTTGTGCCAAATTAGCACAAATTAATTTGATATTAAGCCAGGCAAATAAAAAAAATAAAATCAATTAGTTTCACAGCCCTACCTTGACTTCATTGTACCCTGTAGTGGGATTCTCTAACTCATTGTTGAGTTACCGATAAAAATCGTTAATTTTAAATCTCCTATAGTGACCTGTATAACTATTGATCGTCATACCTAATCCGAATTTCTATTGGCTCTATTCTATTGGTGTAATCCTTATTGCTCCGCAGATGCCCAGACAACTAATATTTTCTGCAAGATTTTGATTTTGCATTTTTTAACCATTGCTGTTCACCGAACTATTGATTCGTATGCTAGAATAGGTCTAATTTAATAATTTAACCTATTGTCCTTATACAGATTGATTTGCTCTATCGTTAAGGATTAGGATTACTCCAAATGCTTCTTGACTTTACTGGAGAAACACATTGTCTTATCCCGGGAGACTGTTTCTTCTAGATGTCCTAGTTTATTAATTCTGGTGCAAAAGACATAGCTTCGCCATTTCCGGTTTCAATAAGTTTACTATTGAATCCCATAAAGAAAGTAGACGAAAAATTATGGTTTTGAGTAGGAAAACCGCGGTGCGCCAGAAGTTTACAAATATTAAAAATACCTCTTTAGAATTAATGTCGTACGTCATGAGTTCCTGCAAAACGTCATTTTTAAATGATGACGCCAAAGATAAAATTATTCTTCATAACATTTCGCTATAAGTAATAAAGAAATGTGTTTTACATATTTTCAAATTACTGGCGCTTAGTTCAGATTTAGAGTTCTGATTTATTCTAGGACTTAGTGTAGTTTTTTTCAAGGCTAAAAAGAACCCCTTGATATTTAAAATAGATGACTAAAATTATCCAGTATATGCGTAAAATGTAAGAATTCTAAGAAATATAATAATATTAATCCCAAAATTGAAAAAAAGTGGAAGATTTAGAGGCCTTCTCCCTCTATTTAGCTTAATTTGTAATCTACTCTTATTAGCACTTCTTTCACAATCTACTAGTTTTCCCTCTGCAATTATTTGTACATCCTCCACCTTGGAAAGGAGGGTATATTAACTTTGTCATTCCGTTTGTAACATCCTTAAATATTCGT